CCCAGCTTGGCTACTGGATTGCAGCTTTCCGTTCTTCAGCAGGTAACATACTCGAATGCAATTGCACTGGTACATGCCACAATATACACACTTGTACCTTGACTCAAACAGAATAACATGCAGACAAATGCTAATCATGCTTTATACTTGAACCCTAGGTTCAGGTTTGTCTCATCCAGGCCTGAGGGACATCACTGCCTACCACACCTTCTTCCTCCTGTCCATCTTGGGATCTCTTGCTTTGCTTGTACTAGTCTTGCTCTGTGTCCTACTCTATTATTGCAGGTATGTACTAGTTTGTCTGAATTATGTGTAATTAAAAGCAACATAGGCTCGTTGAAAAGACATGCCTCTATTTTGATTGTGCTTTTGGTGCCACACTGTGGATATATCACTTTAAAGTTTTTCCAAAACATGCAAAAGCAACATAATACCGTTTTGAAGAACTGTCACCACAGGCATGTTTTCCCTCTGAGCATGGGTCGATTATAAGGTATATTTCACAAGATTATAGCAAATTACTGTTTCTGACTATCTGAGAGTGCTTTTCCTAAATGTCAACATCTGTTTTCCAGACGAAGATGTCTGAAGCCCAGACGGCAGCAGAAACAGGTTCAAGCTCCTTCTGCTCTGAACGGATCCAAGCGGGACCAAGGCACCTCCATGTCCCATTTGAACCTCATCTGTGGGGGCCATGTTGAATCCGCCACCTCCAATGGCAACTTGGATGCCAACAAATCCGAGGGATCCCCATCCCATGCCTTCAAGAGTGCTCGGGATGAGTTTACCAGGCACATTCCAGCCCATAAGCTTCGGCATTCCTCTAAGACCAAGCAGTCTAAAGGAGCCCAAAAGAATGCAGAGAGTTTCCCCATGAAGGTACATCGATCCACGGATACGAGCAATCTGGATGGCAATCTTCTACATGATGACTACGGACGCAACTACAGCCCTGATGACAAGGATCACGACTATCGCCGGAGGCACGTTGTCAATGATAACCGTGGCTACACATCTGACCCGCCTTCTCCACCAATTGTCGACAAGCCTCCAGAGTATTCGCAGGTTTTGCAAGGGCCGGATCACCTCGCTCGCCCAACGTCGCTCAACACGCAACCAGGTCAGATTATATTCTGCAGCTCACTGGATCAGATGAAGGAGAACATGTACCGTACTATGGTACCAACTCTTGTGATCCCGGCTCACTACATGAGGCTTTCTTCTGAGTTTAGTGCCACAGATCAGGGTAAAGATGGGGCAAACCAAGCAGACCGAGATGGACAGAGTTCGCAAGGTACCAACAGTGGGATTCAAGGCCAAAACCACCAAAACCAGACCCCTGGTTCAGGCCATGCAGAAGCCCAACAAGGTGATTCTCCAGCAGGCTCTGACGAGAGTGATTGGCCCCCCGGTGGACCACCAGCACCGGTTCACATCCCTGTTTTGTTCAATGACTCCACCATCTCCCAGATGAATGGGGAGTTGCAAGCGCTCACAGAGAAGAAGCTTCTGGAACTGGGGGTGAAGCAACACCCTCGTGCCTGGTTTATATCTCTCGACGGACGCGCCAACGCTCACGTGCGCCACTCGTACATAGATGTAGGTGCCAGTCTCAGCCATAGCGGAACACATAGTGGCAACCACAGCGCCCAAAGCACATTGAGCGCCCCTGCCGGGAGTAGTAAGGACCGAAACGTAGACACAAGTCTCCAAGACACCCAACATGGGCGCAAGCCTGTATCCAGTCGCAAGAACAAAGAGGAACACCTTGGAAGTGGGCGCAAAGGCCATGGAGGAAGTAGCTCCAGCAGCACAAGTGGCGGGAAACACTACTCCAAACCAACCTACCATGACCCTCTGAACCTAAGTGGAGGAGTGAGCCGCATGGGAGCCAGTTCGCCATTGGAAAACCCATTGACCCCTCTTTTGGATGACGGTCCTGAGGAACCAAGGGGGTCTTCAATGCCGAGAAGGGGTCGAAGCCGGGGGAACAGCTCACGTAGTAGCAACAGCGAAACGCAACGTGACTCCGTCACCAGCCCGGAAGATGACAACGACCTGGATGACAAGGATGAGAACAAGAAGAGTCCCTGGCAGCGGATTGAAGAGCGCCCCCTAATGGTGTTTCATGCCAAGAAGTAGAGTGAGAAATCAATCACAGCAGCTGCCTTGAATAATTGGACTAACTAGAGATGTGTTCAAATTGATAATGACTCTGAAAGTTTTACAAACGTCACCCAATGATATTTTCACGAACCGACTATTTGTGTCGTTATAATTTGATAGACATTTCCAAAATGATTGTTGTGCCATTGGATTTGTTTTTGTCTTTCGATGACAACGTACTTTCACTGATCAATTTGAATGCGTCTCAGGGGTCAAAGAACACAAATTTGGTGGCATCATATCATACCATCTCAGTGTTTTGCACACCAAAAATCACATTAAATTCAAGAAGTTATAGTAAAAAGAATGCCATTGCAGATGGAGGAACACAAGATACCAAACAACAGGGCGAGTGCATTAAAATAAAGCACAACACAACATGCTGGTCTACAACAGGAAGACTTTATCTTACAGTCCACAAAGACATTATTTTACAGTCCCTCTATTTCCATACCAATCAGACTCTTACAAACGATTGCATCCAAAAGTACCGAGTACCTTTTAACTCTCAATGGCTTGCTGATAGACTTTTTCAATGGATGGCTTTCGCTGAAGCTCGAGTCTTCAATATATTGGATCAAGAACTTGATGTTTTCCAAAACTTCTTGTAAAACTGTTAGAGACCCATTTTCTTATGTTCTGATGCAGTATATTCCTTGGTATCTCTTCCCAACTTGCCGTTCTTCTACCTTCGATACTCATTATTTTGATGTCAATTTCAATTTTCATTCTATCTTTCATACTATTTTATACGTTTTGTGCATTGCTAATCTGAAATTTACAGTTCAGGTTTCAAACATTCCAGATTTTTTACTGTTTGTCCTTAAGTAGATTAATTAAAATAAGAAGGCTTAGAGTTCACATCTATGTGATGTTATAGAAATGTCTAAGTCATTACACAATGTATTTTTGATTTATTGTATTATATGTTATGCCACAGCACATTTTCCACTCCAATGCTGTTCTTGAATATAGTCTTTGAAAATGTGGTAAGCCTAAACTTAGCACTTGTTGCATTAAAGTGCAGATTTGTATAGGAAAAGCTGATTCCGAATCGGGACCCCAATCTCACTTACAGTGAAAAAGCATTGACTGTGATACAGTAGATATGAATGTACGTTCACCACAGTTAGCATTTTCAGTCCAGCTTTTCATTTGTTTAAAAGAGAGCCATTAGCATTTTGTGTATATGTATGATAGCCTATATGTGCATGAGATAACTAGTATAGGACAACAGATTTTTTATGCCTACAAATTAAAATAGACACTATCAAAGCATGAAGGTGGATAATAGGTGCATCTGCTACAGATGCCTGATGGGAAGAAATTTGCCAAAATTTCAAATGAAATATTATATGCCAGTTTACAGGCCAGTGTTTGGCCAATGTATTTCACTCCGAACTTTTCCAGCGCTGTTAGTATTCACATTGTCTGCATTGCATTGACTGTGACAAAATTCTGACTCGGATCTTTTTAATAAGCCATTCAGATATTAAAAGCTAATCATTTATGACACTTCTTGACTGTTACTTTTCTATTTACGATTTTTAAAACTATTATTTTTCCCATGTTTACCATTATTAAAGCAAGCACATGTCATGTCATTTATAAAGCAACATTTTATGAATAATTAAGACAGGGTACCATAAGGAGCGTGAAGGCTGAGACACTCAAGAGCTATTTGACGACTATCAAACATAATACAAAGAGACTTGAACTAAAATAGCTCTGCTCATGCTGATCTGGTGCCAATCTCATGTAGAGCAGTGATTAACGCTGTCTCTTGTGATGATTGTCAACTTGCCACAAATGACACCACTGTTGCAACATGTCTCATATGTGTGTCATTTGTTTTGCAACCTTTCATAACTTCCTTATAATAACTTGAACTGAGATTAAGTACTGGCTTATTTTATACTAAATTGGCGATTAAGAGTGAGACTTAACATCTAGTGTAAGCTGCAGTGGTGGAACTCTTAAGAGGATTTTAGTATGTTTTATATTATATACTAGGTGCTGAAACCCTTAAACCTTACATACTGACCCACAATTTCACTGATTTTAGATTTGCTACACTCTTTTTAGCATGAGTTTTACTCAAACCTACTAGAACTGAAATCAAAGCCATTCTCTTCCTCTGTCTGTTTATATTTTGTTCACAGCCTGTGGGTAAAATTTCAGAGGAAATCTCGATATGCCTTTATCAATGTACATTTATCACGTGATGTGGTGCTCTGAAACACATTTCCCTCTGTACTGTGTAAATATCTCTCTCTCTGACTGAATATGAATATGACTCTGATGATATTATGATGTTGTTTCCATTGTGCACAACGTTTTTGCTTAATTGTTCTAAAATCATGTCAGATGGAACTTTTGCAATTTTATAGTTTGTTCATAATATCCTAGAAAAAAGATCACATGTGAAATGGACTGTTTAACTTCTGACGTGTCCGAAAGTCATGTGCTGTACAATAAAGAAATTAAATTTCTTGTGTTTTTTCCTCCTGCATTTCTGTTGTTATTAAAAACAAAACTCAAAGTAATCCTGCATTTTCACACATGGAATATTGTGTAATTTCCCATGTTTTGTAAGTATTAATAGTTTAGAACTTTTAGGTATATTTAAAACTTGTACTGGTTAAACATAATAAAGGCCAAAGGTCATTATAAAAATGTAAAAACTGCATTGATGCAACAAGGAAAAACATTATACATAAAACTTATTAAAAGAGTGAATTCACTTCAATGACACCTGACGTTACCTGTAGACCAGATATTGATATAGAAATATATTACCTACCCAGATTCACAAGCTCACATCCCTGTTTTGTTCAATGACTCCACCATCTCCCAGATGAATGGGGAGCTGCAAGCACTTACGGAGAAGAAGCTTCTGGAACTGGGGGTGAAGCAACACCCTCGTGCTTGGTTTATATCACTCGACGGACGAGCCAACGCTCACGTGCGCCACTCCTACATAGATGTAGGTGCCGATCTCAGCCACAGTGGAACACATAGTGGCAACCACAGCGCCCAAAGCACATTGAGCGCCCCTGCCGGGAGTAGTAAGGACCGAAACGTAGACACAAGTCTCCAAGACACCCAACATGGGCGCAAGCCTGTATCCAGTCGCAAGAACAAAGAGGAACACCTTGGAAGTGGGCGCAAAGGCCATGGAGGAAGTAGCTCCAGCAGCACAAGTGGCGGGAAACACTACTCCAAACCAACCTACCATGACCCTCTGAACCTAAGTGGAGGAGTGAGCCGCATGGGAGCCAGTTCGCCATTGGAAAACCCATTGACCCCTCTTTTGGATGACGGTCCTGAGGAACCAAGGGGGTCTTCAATGCCGAGAAGGGGTCGAAGCCGGGGGAACAGCTCACGTAGTAGCAACAGCGAAACGCAACGTGACTCCGTCACCAGCCCGGAAGATGACAACGACCTGGATGACAAGGATGAGAACAAGAAGAGTCCCTGGCAGCGGATTGAAGAGCGCCCCCTAATGGTGTTTCATGCCAAGAAGTAGAGTGAGAAATCAATCACAGCAGCTGCCTTGAATAATTGGACTAACTAGAGATGTGTTCAAATTGATAATGACTCTGAAAGTTTTACAAACGTCACCCAATGATATTTTCACGAACCGACTATTTGTGTCGTTATAATTTGATAGACATTTCCAAAATGATTGTTGTGCCATTGGATTTGTTTTTGTCTTTCGATGACAACGTACTTTCACTGATCAATTTGAATGCGTCTCAGGGGTCAAAGAACACAAATTTGGTGGCATCATATCATACCATCTCAGTGTTTTGCACACCAAAAATCACATTAAATTCAAGAAGTTATAGTAAAAAGAATGCCATTGCAGATGGAGGAACACAAGATACCAAACAACAGGGCGAGTGCATTAAAATAAAGCACAACACAACATGCTGGTCTACAACAGGAAGACTTTATCTTACAGTCCACAAAGACATTATTTTACAGTCCCTCTATTTCCATACCAATCAGACTCTTACAAACGATTGCATCCAAAAGTACCGAGTACCTTTTAACTCTCAATGGCTTGCTGATAGACTTTTTCAATGGATGGCTTTCGCTGAAGCTCGAGTCTTCAATATATTGGATCAAGAACTTGATGTTTTCCAAAACTTCTTGTAAAACTGTTAGAGACCCATTTTCTTATGTTCTGATGCAGTATATTCCTTGGTATCTCTTCCCAACTTGCCGTTCTTCTACCTTCGATACTCATTATTTTGATGTCAATTTCAATTTTCATTCTATCTTTCATACTATTTTATACGTTTTGTGCATTGCTAATCTGAAATTTACAGTTCAGGTTTCAAACATTCCAGATTTTTTACTGTTTGTCCTTAAGTAGATTAATTAAAATAAGAAGGCTTAGAGTTCACATCTATGTGATGTTATAGAAATGTCTAAGTCATTACACAATGTATTTTTGATTTATTGTATTATATGTTATGCCACAGCACATTTTCCACTCCAATGCTGTTCTTGAATATAGTCTTTGAAAATGTGGTAAGCCTAAACTTAGCACTTGTTGCATTAAAGTGCAGATTTGTATAGGAAAAGCTGATTCCGAATCGGGACCCCAATCTCACTTACAGTGAAAAAGCATTGACTGTGATACAGTAGATATGAATGTACGTTCACCACAGTTAGCATTTTCAGTCCAGCTTTTCATTTGTTTAAAAGAGAGCCATTAGCATTTTGTGTATATGTATGATAGCCTATATGTGCATGAGATAACTAGTATAGGACAACAGATTTTTTATGCCTACAAATTAAAATAGACACTATCAAAGCATGAAGGTGGATAATAGGTGCATCTGCTACAGATGCCTGATGGGAAGAAATTTGCCAAAATTTCAAATGAAATATTATATGCCAGTTTACAGGCCAGTGTTTGGCCAATGTATTTCACTCCGAACTTTTCCAGCGCTGTTAGTATTCACATTGTCTGCATTGCATTGACTGTGACAAAATTCTGACTCGGATCTTTTTAATAAGCCATTCAGATATTAAAAGCTAATCATTTATGACACTTCTTGACTGTTACTTTTCTATTTACGATTTTTAAAACTATTATTTTTCCCATGTTTACCATTATTAAAGCAAGCACATGTCATGTCATTTATAAAGCAACATTTTATGAATAATTAAGACAGGGTACCATAAGGAGCGTGAAGGCTGAGACACTCAAGAGCTATTTGACGACTATCAAACATAATACAAAGAGACTTGAACTAAAATAGCTCTGCTCATGCTGATCTGGTGCCAATCTCATGTAGAGCAGTGATTAACGCTGTCTCTTGTGATGATTGTCAACTTGCCACAAATGACACCACTGTTGCAACATGTCTCATATGTGTGTCATTTGTTTTGCAACCTTTCATAACTTCCTTATAATAACTTGAACTGAGATTAAGTACTGGCTTATTTTATACTAAATTGGCGATTAAGAGTGAGACTTAACATCTAGTGTAAGCTGCAGTGGTGGAACTCTTAAGAGGATTTTAGTATGTTTTATATTATATACTAGGTGCTGAAACCCTTAAACCTTACATACTGACCCACAATTTCACTGATTTTAGATTTGCTACACTCTTTTTAGCATGAGTTTTACTCAAACCTACTAGAACTGAAATCAAAGCCATTCTCTTCCTCTGTCTGTTTATATTTTGTTCACAGCCTGTGGGTAAAATTTCAGAGGAAATCTCGATATGCCTTTATCAATGTACATTTATCACGTGATGTGGTGCTCTGAAACACATTTCCCTCTGTACTGTGTAAATATCTCTCTCTCTGACTGAATATGAATATGACTCTGATGATATTATGATGTTGTTTCCATTGTGCACAACGTTTTTGCTTAATTGTTCTAAAATCATGTCAGATGGAACTTTTGCAATTTTATAGTTTGTTCATAATATCCTAGAAAAAAGATCACATGTGAAATGGACTGTTTAACTTCTGACGTGTCCGAAAGTCATGTGCTGTACAATAAAGAAATTAAATTTCTTGTGTTTTTTCCTCCTGCATTTCTGTTGTTATTAAAAACAAAACTCAAAGTAATCCTGCATTTTCACACATGGAATATTGTGTAATTTCCCATGTTTTGTAAGTATGAATAGTTTAAAACTTTTAGGTATATTTAAAACTTGTACTGGTTAAACATAATAAAGGCCAAAGGTCATTATAAAAATGTAAAAACTGCATTGATGCAACAAGGAAAAACATTATACATAAAACTTATTAAAAGAGTGAATTCACTTCAATGACACCTGACGTTACCTGTAGACCAGATATTGATATAGAAATATATTACCTACCCAGATTCACAAGCTTTTTTGCACTAAAGTCTGGCATGATCTTTGGAGATGTTTGATCCTTTCATTTTCTTGGAAAAAATACATATACTTTAATACATACACTTCAATTAAAACAAAATTTAAGGGACAATAATTAGATGTATTATCATACACCAGGCCTGAAAATGACTTAGGACCTCTGGTCTACACTCAGAAAAGTACAAAAAACGTACAAAAGTTGTCACTGGGGCGGTACCTTTTCAAAAGTTACACCTCTGTACCTTTTTATTCCTAAGGGGTGCATATTGTTACTTTAAAAGGTACATATTAATACATTTGCGGTATATAGCTCTAGCTAATTAAACACAGTCAAACTTGTTAATAATAGTCCTTATGCTCACTAGAAAACTAGGCGCAGTGTGTTGGAACTAGATTAACTGGTAGATCTAGTTCTAGGTTGACCACCTTTGTTCCATCACCTTGGGTGGAGGTTAAAAACATTATTTGTTTAAAAAGAAGGATTGATTCATTGTCTACAAGCGAAGAGACACGGCATAAGAAAACCACACATTGTGCTGGATAAACTCATTAACCAAATGTCAAAACAGTGCAAGGTTTTTCAATATAGCCTCTTGGAAATCTACCATTTCTGCTCTTGTTCTGAAATGCTTGTCTTGTCATTGCTTAAATACCAAAGATGGCGTTAAACCAGTTTGTTGGTTCAGGCAGGTGTTTTTAGCAGTCATTATAAATAGATGGAAATTAAGACGTTTTTCTTAAAAACGTCTACATTCTTATCCTTCTTTATGAAAAAAAATAATCAACGTTCGCTGAACACCCAGAAATAAATAGCAATGCTTTTCAAACCAGGCAGGTTTGTCGTTGCGCTCCAGGCCGCGTGGCGGCGCTTATTTGACGCGTCGTTGCATTCGTTTACAAAGAAGAGGAAGAGAGACATTACATTCAAGCGCACAGGTCAATGTTATGTACACAAATAATGGGATTACATTTATCCAGCATTATTATAGAGCCCTCAAACCCTTTCGATACTTTCTATTAACCGCTATATTTGTGTTTTGAGGCTTCTATGCAGAAACGCGTTTATAATCTCTGTTTCCAGCATATAAAGTAGGTCATCGCTGTTGGGTAAGTGCTTTTTCTGTATATTTTTAACATTTTTAAATGTCAGTGCTGTTTATTAACGTCGTTAGTCACATTATTATTGTGGTATGGGTGATTTTTAACCCAAGCAAAATGTGTTAACTAATTTAACTTAAGTTTTACCACTTAATGTCCAGCTATAACAAGACATCTATCATAATGCAAGTCATTATTGTAATTAGAAATGTTGTTTGGATCTAGGTTACCTATTATTACTCGTGTATTTACATATTTATGAGCCCAAATTGTAATTGAAGTTCCAGTAGAGGCCGCTAGGAGGCGCCAACGACCAGTATTCATCAGCCATATACTGTATAATGAGATGTGTGAGGGTAAATAACTCTGATTTGTGTGTTTCAGCATGTTTCTGGTGGGGTTAACCGGAGGCATGGCCTCAGGGAAGAGCACAGTGTCTTCTCAGCTGAAAGAACTGGGCTGTCCCGTCATCGATGCAGATGTGGTGGCCCGGAAAGGTGTTTAGTGCTTGTTCGTCTTTAGTATATTATAACATTATTTTGTAAAGAAATTCATAGGGTTTTGTATTTTGAAAAAAATGTATTTATAATCATTTGATTAAAAAAAGATAGGCACCATTTAGAAAACTAGCTTGAGGCATTTTAAAAATTATTAAAATAGTTTTTAACCCCTTAACTGTCACCTCCCCATTATATGTGGCGCTCTTTTTTTGTTGTTGTCCTTTTTCGCTATCAAATCTTTTAGTAACCATCATAAATTATATATCGTTTGAAAGCTTAGAAGCCCAAGATTCATCCTGTGAAAACCATTTTGAAATCGGACATTGCGTTACCATGGAAATGGTACTTTAAAATATTTTGGCGGTCTCCTCCCCCTTAGTGGGCGGTGTCAAGTGTCGTATTACAAAATGCATTACGGTCTTTTAGAATCAAACCTTTTTATAATCTTGACAAAAAACATATCATTGGAAAGGTCTGAGTCTCAGGATTCAGTATTTGGTGGTTATTTTGAGATAATATTGATCTGTATCTGTAATATTGATAGAGAAATCTAGACATTTGTGACAGAAAAATGCATTAAAAAAATTCAGTGGAGTTTTGATGGCACCCGGTGGCTTTTTGTGGTATGACACCCTAAATAAAATCTCACAGGAACCTCAATTGTTTTCACTTCAACTTCAAATTTGGAACATAACTTATTTAGACATAAGGCTTTAATTTTATACCAATTTTAGAGTAAAACCTGTTATGTAAAATATTTATTATAAATAAAATAAAATTAATATAGTGCATTTTATTTACAGTAAATTTAAACTTCTATAACTTTTTGATACTTTAATTTTTTTTTTAAATTCCACTTTTGCAATAATCTGCGACCAAGAGATGGTATGCATTCCAAAGTGTTCATAAATTACAACAAATTAAGTTTGGATAGTGCACTTTCATGCCTATTTTAAAAAATGGGGGTGACAGTTAAGGGGTTAATATATAATAAATGAATGAAAAATAAAATAAATTCAGTTTAATTAAAAAACTTATATAACTTTAGTAAGAGTGTATTCTAGATTCATTTTTATAACTTAAATATTAAATAAATATATAAATGTAATTATAATGTATATAGATTTGATTTCATTTAATAATAAAAATATTGTTTTAATTAAAAAATGTGAAAAAAATATACACACACACACACTAAATGATTTAAAATTTGTAAAAAAAATAATTAATATATTTCGTATTTAATACATATTTTACAAAATATTAAATTAAATTTTTAATATTTATTTAATGATATTATTTATTTAATATGCATTTATTTATTTAATACATGCTTTAATTGTGTGATTTTTCTCTGTGTATCAGTGGTGGAGCCCCAAAGCCCAGCGTACAGACTGATCGTGCAGCATTTTGGACGTGAAATTTTGTTTGACAATGGCGAGATTGACAGACAGAAACTGGGGCAGATCATCTTCTCCAGCCCCGAGAAACGAAAACTTCTCAACTCCGTCACGCACCCAGAAATACATAAAGAAATGTTCAAACAAATACTGATGTACTTCCTTAAAGGTATACTCACACATGCATAAAATCAAATAAAAAAATGATAAGTGTGCCAAAATCTCATGAACTAATGGTTTTTGTTGGTTGTTCTTTAGGCTACAGATATGTGATTTTGGATGTGCCGCTGCTTTTCGAAACACGACGTCTCACCCGTTTCCTAACCCACACTGTTGTCGTATACTGGTATGATGTTCATTTTCTCTCTTTCACTTTCTCTGTTTTCATGAATTGCTATAACATAAGTCAGATTGGGTTGTGTGTTACTGTGGTTTTTAAAGCAAATAAAGGGTCTTTCAGTGTTATACCATTCATTTTCTTAAATTGTTTTACATTTTTTTTGTTTTTTATTACTTGTTTAAAAATGTTATTGAAAAATTTAATAAAAAAAAAAATACTTTTTTTGTAATATTTTATTTTGTATTTTATTTCAGCTGTATTACAGTTAACAGTTGTAAATAATTTTAGTTAACAGTAATAAGCCTGGGCTCTTCACCTCATGTGTCTGTGTTTTGGCAGTGACCCGGCGACGCAGCTGTCCCGTCTCATGCAGAGGGACGGTTTGAGTCAGGAGGAGGCCGAACAGAGGATCAGCGCTCAGATGCCCCTCAAAGAGAAGCGTGGACTCGCCAGTCATGTGATCGAGAACTCGGGCTCTCGCGAGGACACTCAAAGACAGGTGCTGCGGCTGCACACCAAGCTCGAGGACTCCATGGAGTTCCTGGTCGTCAGGGCCGTCGCCGTGGCAGCCGTCGCCGGGCTCGGCGGTCTGTTTTTATGTACAGTCAGACTGCTGGTCTCTTAGCAAACGTACAGAAGTGCTTCCAATGGGTCTTAAAGGGATAGTGCACCCAAAAATCAACATTCTGTCAACATTTACTCATTATATGTGGTTTTCTTTCTTCTGTGGAATACATTTTGACCGTGAACAACATTGGAAACCATTAACTCTCAGTGTGTGGACAGAAAAATCCCAAAATATTTATTTTTAATGTTCCACAGAAGAAAGTAAAGTCATATAGGTTTGTAACAATGTGAATAAATGATGACAGAATTTAAATTTTTCAGTAAAAAAAACAATGAAGAATATGATTTTGATATTCTGACCTCACCACCGTCAGCCTGAGCTACATAAAAGGCCACATTTACGGTTATTTGATTGCACAGGCTGCGTAACTCTATAATCAACACAATGATTGTGATATTAGTTCTAAATGTAACATACTGTATGAAACAGAACTGTGACAACAGTGCTACTTTCTTAGCTCGACACACGTTTGTTTAATTATGAATTCACGCATACATGAAATAGACCGAATGTATTGATATCTTCTGCTGCTCTTTGTTAATATCAGATGTTTTCATCTATATCTGAATTTACTAAATGTCACAACTTGATCTGTTGCAATAAATTAATTCTTTGTGATGCTAAATGACTCATCCAGTGATATGCATGCGTAAAATATATACATTATATATATATATATATATATATAAAACAATAGGAGAATCGCTTTGATGTAAGCAAAAAACAAGTATTGTTAAGCAGATTTTCAGGATTATGCAAAATAGTTTTCCACACTAAAAAGCAGGGTGTATCATTATATTAAATAAAAATAATTCTGTTTTTAATAAGTTTTTGTTATTTTTATTTTTCACTAAACTAATACTAATTCTTTAAATTATATGTTAACTTATACATATATAAGTTAACATTTATTTTAAGTATTGGTATTAGTGTAGTTCAAATCTAATTAAAAAAAAGTAAGTAATGTAGATAATTAAAAATCAATAAAAATAGACATATGTGACCCTGGTCATAAGTAGCACAGGTATATTTGTAGCAATAACCAACAATACATTGTATGGGTTAAAATTATTGATTTTTATTTTATGCCAAAAATCATTAGGATATTATGTAAAGATCATGTTCCATGAAGATATTTTGTAAATCTCCTACCGTAAATATATTAAAACTTAATTTTTGATTAGTAATATGCATTGCTAAGAACTTCATTTGGACAACTTTAAAGGCGATTTTATCAATATTTAGATTTTTTTGCACCCTCAGATTCCAGATTTTCAAATAGTTGTATCTCAGCCAAATATTGTCCTATCCTAACAATTATTCAGCTTTCAGATGATGTATAAATCTCAATTTCGAAAAATTGACCCTTCTGACTGTTTTTTTGGTCCCGGGTCATATATATAAAAAAACACTAATAAATAACAACAAAACATGACAACATTTCTAAAACTTTTGTTAAACAAAAACAGAAAATGTTATCAAACCTAATAATAAACTATAAATTAAACTATAATTTTATCCCCCAATGATACTAAAATAACACTGGTAAAATGTGGTAACCTGCAGCTTTTACCTAATTCAACAACAACAACCAAAAATGTGTAGGTATAGACTGTGTGTATTTAGGTTGGTTCAGTATTTTGACTATTTTGAACAATTTCGTTATCATTTTTTCAGTGCATATGCAATTTTTTAAAGAATTTTAAAATCTCTTAAGCAACAGGTTTTGATGCTGCAGCTCCGTTTGTAAGAGCGTTTATGTTGGTCTCACGGTGTAAACATGAGTAATATACATGTACATCAGCCGGACACACAGACAGATATGACAGTTATGAGTTCTCTCTCTGTCTTCTTCACTCAGTCCTTCATCTTCAGGGTTGGCCTATGGTGATGTTCTCTGTCTTTAATAAGCTGTTCTTATGCTAACACAGAGTGACGCGGGCCAGCGGCCCTGTATTCAAAGACCTCTGTGTGTGTGTGTGTGTGTGTGTGTGTGTGTGTGAGAGAGATGGTCAAGGTTTTAAGATTGTGCATCCGTCTTTATGCAATGGATGGAGATTGTGTGTGTGTGTGTGTGTGTGTGTGTGAATGCGGTCCCGTCAGAGCGTAGTCTGAAGCAAACAGAATCAAGTGTTTGCATATCAAGAGCTAAAGTATCTAGAGTGAAAAGTTAACTTTTTGAACACTGTCACTTTGAGAAATTATTAAGGGTGAAATTCCCAGAAACGACTGGGTAAACCTCAAAAATCATTTTATGATATGCTATGTTGGCATAACATTTAAAAAAACTTTTAGGACCATATATATATATATATATATATATATATATATACTGTATATATTTTGATGCAACGAGGAAATTGTCCATAGGAGTCCATAGGAGAACATTTAGTAGCATTTATTTGATCAAGAGTGCAGTTGAAATATTACAATTTAAAATTTTGACAAAGTTTTCTATGCTAGTATACTGTAAAATGTAATTTATTCTTATCATGCAAAGCTGTATTTTCAGCATCATTCCTCCAGTCTTCAGTGTCACGTGATCTTCAGAAATCATTCTAATATGCTGATTTGCTGCTCAAGAAACATTTTTTATCATCAAAGTTGAAAATAGTTTTTTTTTTTTTTTTGGAAACTGGCACAATTTTATTTTCAGATTCTTCGATGAATAGAATGTTCAAAAGAACAACATAGAATTGAAATAGAATTTTTCATGTAACTGTAAATGTCTTTACGGTCACTTTTGATCAGTTTAACGCATCATTGAAAAATAAAATATATAATATTTATTTATTTATTGCTTTAAGGTCATTTTAATTTATAATAATAAATTAAAAATAAAAATGTATTGGTTTAAGGTTTAAGAAATTTCTTATTCCTAAAAATAGGAATAATTTTAGCAAGTCAAATTTGTTGTTCCTTTATTTATTTATTTATCTAAAGTAATGAAAATTAGGTGGCAAATTACGAATTTCTTATTGTAAAATTTCTAATTTCCTTACTTTTTTAAAATTCCATTTTGATTTTAAGGTGGCCCAAAGATGTTCAGTTTTCATGAGATTAACTCTTTCACTGCTTCTTGAATGAGTGGTTTGTATGGGACAGGCCGCAAAAGAGAAGCATCTGATTCAGTTTACTAGGAATAACTGTGTATATCCTGTAGATATGAACTCTCTCTCTCTGGCTTGCAGGCTGGTCCACATCATAACACACTGTCGCTGGTCGATTCACCCAGCCCTATCACACCAACTCAGCTGGAAAACACCCACCAAATGAGAGGTGACAGCTGCTTTGTGAGTGTGTGTGTGTGTGTTTGTCAGTGAGCCTGGATTTCGGCCCGTATGTGGGCACTTATTTAATATACTGAATTTGACTTCTTAAAGTATGGGATAAAAGGTAACATCAGGGCTTGAGAAGAGTGATTAAGCATGTTTCCATGAATACTTGGCAACACTCGTAGTGGTTTTCATTAAGAAAATTAACAAGCTTGACCTATAATGATATTCTACATTCATCTACTCAGGTTCTAAAAGAGATCATTTAAATTTTTTGGTGAACTATGTGATTTATTCACCCTCATGTTTGTTCCATGCCTGTATATGAAGCACAAAGGTCCATGCAATAAAAGTTAAAGGCATCCAATATTGTTTGGTTGCCAATGTTTTTCAAAAATATCCTTTTTTTATGTTCCACAGAAGATTTAAGTGATATCATTAGAAGTTTACTAAGGCCGTTTCTCCAATATATATTTATTACTTCGTATTACTGTAAAAATAATTATTTTTGTGTTGTTTTCATTACATATATTTAAAAATCCTGAATCAAGAAAGTAGGAAAGTTGTATAACAAAATGTATCAAAATCGAATAAGCGAGTCTATGCTTAAAACAAGAAAAATAATCATGTAAATGTCTAAGTACTGTCTGAAATTTTCTTAAACAATTAGTATTTTTCTCAGGCTCCTATGTTTATGTTCAATTATTTCACTTTAATGGCAAAGAAAAAACCCTATTCATTGCCATTAATGTGAAATTACTGAACACATAGGAGTCTGATAAAAATGCTCATTTTAGAAGAAAATTATATATAATTTAAGCTTAAGGGCCAGAATTTATAATATAATTTATAATATAGTTATACTCAGATTTTATTCCTGATTTTAAAACTGTGATGGTGACGCATCTCTCAAGTGCAACCATGTAAAATCAAAATCATTCATTTGTACCTTGCAAATGTGACTGAAACAATCTGAAAGTGCATTTCACACATTCAATATATCAAGTAAATCTAAATTGCAGCTACAGTACGTGACATTAGATCACAGCAGTGCTACCGCTTGTCATTTACAGTTTGGAGGCTGCCAGAGCAGATAAAGCATCAGCTGACCCGCATGTGGCCCACCTGCCAGTCCGTGCTCAGCGGGCCGCGTCTCGCTCTGAGCTAAAGGTGAGATCTGCTCAGCGTCTGCTGCTACAGACCTGCCCTGAACTCCCGTCACACTGAGACAGCTGCTGGTGTCACTGGCCATGAGAGGAGGGCCAAACTAATGTCTTCATCTGCTCTACACCGTGTTACCTGACGCTATGACTTTGCCAGGTGACATTTACATGAACTGAGCGCCGCAAACATCTGGGAGGAGATTGATCATATAATTCCACCAATCACAGGCAGCCCCGCCCCTTCATTGCAGACAGCGAGCCACGCCCATCTTCCAATTCCACACCACTTTAAAGGGTTAGTTCACCCAAAAAAGAATAATTCTGTCATTAATTACTCACCCTCATGTCGTTTCAAACCCGTAAGACCTTCATTCATATCTTAATTTGTGTTCCGAAAATGAACAAAGGTCTTACAGGTTTGAAACGACATGAGGGTGAGTAATTAATGACAGAATTTTCATTTTGGGGTGAACTAACCCTTTAGACATTGTACTGAATGAAAATGAATTGAACTGAAATTTGGTGCATTTAACATATTTAAGAAGTCTTACAAGCATAGTAAGCTTTATTCTTTCTTTAGAGTAAAAATTATTTAGTTAATTATTTGATTAGTTCAAATCATACTGTAACTTCCAGAAAATTTTCTTCCTAGGTCAAAAAATGTTTTTACAGAAACATATGTTTTCCTTTCTATTTTATAGTGTCTTCTGGAAGTCCCGCCTTATGGTTAAAAGAACTAATTACCTGTTTGTAAGTCTGGAAAATAGAGTTTTGCATTATTTAAGTGTAAAGACCACAATTTACTATGATTATTATAATACAGAATTATTTTCAGATTTCATTTCTGAATTTAAAAATGTGTGGATGGCAAAGCACATCTCAAGTGTATTGTTAAAGTGTGCACAGGATTATTAATTAACTGAAACTAAAACGAAAACTTAAAATTAAAAATGTTATATATGTTCGTTTTATATATACTTATTTTATAGTTGCCAAGGTAACATTTAAACATTTTCATTTAGTTTAAATGTGTACTGAAATAAAAACGAATAGAAATTTTTTTTTTAAATGACTAAAACCTTAAGTAAAATAAAAATGAAAACAGAACATATAAATATACAAACAAATTCAAAATATTAATAACAACTTCCAAAAATAATTCAGTTATATTGGTATCTATTGTCTCCAAAATAC